CTACCTCCCCGCCCGCTTGCCTGCCTGCCTGCCTGCCTGCCTGCCTGCCTCCCTACCTACCTACCTACCTACCTACCTACCTACCTACCTACCTACCTACATACATACATACATACATACATACATTTATATTTATATTTATGCTCGTGTATGCATACATGCGTCTATGCGTACAAGGTCCTCAGCACTCGAACAGGTCTGACCCGGTACTCGATTCCTTTGTCACTCCCGGCTTCGGGCTTTGTTTGTTTAGGGTTCCCTTGCCTGGGCGCTGGCCGGCACCTGAGTCCGTGCTGAAAAAAGGGTTCCCTCGCATAAAGGCTTCATTGCATGTTTGGTAGGGCCCTACAGGGATTGCAGGGGTTCTACCTGACCTTGCCTGGACTTGTCCGTAAGCGCCAAAAAAATCCGGACGAACCCTGAACTCTGAACCCTCTCTGCAGAGAACATGCATGGCACTTTGCAAGAAAAGCCCTAAACCCCAAAACTGTAAGGCCCTAAGCCCCTAAACCCTGGGCCCTGCTAGGCCGTCGGAATGCCTCGGCTTGCAGCTGGGGTCGCCTCAGATTGGGAAGACTCCTGGTTGTCACAGGGTTCAGGGTTCAGGGTTTAGCCGAAGATGTCAGGTTTAGGGATGAGAGTTTAAGGTTTATAGTTATTTTTAGGGCTTCGGGGTGCAAGCTTTGGGGAGGAGGGTTCAGGGCCGCTGGGGATGAGGGTTCAGGGTTTAGGGGTGTAAGGGTCTGGGCTTCAGGATTCAGAGGTTTAGGGGTCCTTCATCGGCAAACACGAAGTCGTGTGCAGGGACCTGAAGTTTCAAGCCACGGAGCTGTCGTGCATGGTTGGGCCGACAAGCCCCCCAGGGTGCGAATGAGCTCCTAATTTTACTGCCACTTTTGATGATTCTGGGTGTTGTGACGCCTCTATTGTGGTTGTGCTGTCTTCGATCCCTGAACCTACCACGGGGTTTGGGAAACCAGATGTGCGCATCGTGCGCAGGGATAGGAACAGCGATTTCGAGCGTATCCGGTTCGAAACCCTAAGGAAGAACCCTCATAGTGCCTTTCACAACCCCTGATCGAGGCCTAAAAGAACCGGTGTAGGCAAGAACGGCATTTTTCGTCGTTTGCGCGGTTCAGCATTCCGCTGGTTAAGACCGGTCCATGCTTCATGTAGATGCGGGAATGCAATTGTAGAGAAGTTCTAGTCTCACTCGACCGACCGATGTCCGAGTAAATAGATGGGAGAATGATTGTTCCTTTCATCGTATAACCTACCCCAAAGGCACTGCTCCAGTTGTCAAGCCCCTATGTGTTGCTTTGATGTTTTGTTCTTTGTCTGCCGGCGTCGCTGATAAGAGCGCTGTGTGTACGCAAATAGTATGTGAATAGATTCATCTATGATATGTGTGTGCATATTGGGCATATCTATAAATATGTATTCCTCTGCTTGTATTACATTTATGTACTTATATTTGTTTTACATGCGTATATATATATATATACACATACATACCCACATCTTCATATCATACATAAACACGTATGTGATATCTATTCAGTCGTGTCTTTGTCTCCTCCTGCCACGCACCCAAGGACACCAAGTCCGACGAGGAGCCTCAGAGCAGCGACGATGACGGCCAACCACAGTGGAGCAACAACAGGCCACCAGGAAGAGGTTTAGGGTTAGGGTTTAGGGTTTATAAGGGTTTAGGAAGATGTCTAGAAGTTTGGAATGACAATCCGACGGGAGGGTTTTCGTTCGAAGGCGGTGGCCGAGGTTCAACGTTTCAGGTGCTCACGGGCACTTGGTGCCGGCACGGCATTCTCATGCTTGGGCGGGGCCGGTGATGTTGGTTGTTGGTTTCTATTTCTTGCCGTGTTTGTTGTCATCGCTGATGGTATTGTTGCTACCTAGAGGACATCTGAGCCGCTTCACGAGACAACAGTCCATACTGTTTTGGGAAATTCGGATTGGTTCATGGCGGCATTTGCAAGCCCGGGCTTCCTTTATGCTACAGTGTGGCAAAGACTGGCTTAAACCAGGTTTGCAGACAGCGCAGCTCGTACGCAGCACTCTCAATGTTGCACACTGTTCTGCCATTTACAAGGCTAGTTGCCGCGAAGACTCATAGGCAAAGCCGCACATGGGAATTTCGGAAAATTAGGGCACCTTATTTTGGGTCCTTATGATAAGGATCTTACTATTGAGGGTACTATTTTAGGATCCCCAAAAAACTTGGGAAAGCCCCACATTGCACAAGAGCAGAGCCTGCTTGCCTGCTGCACTTCAGCCACGTGTGCCCGGATCGAAGGATGCGGGGCGGCCGCGTCAAAGGTAAAGGAAAAGGCAAGAGCTCGCAACCTGCATCATGGCAGCCATGAGCTTCAGAGTTTATTTTCCATAGGGTTTGGGAAAAGCAAAGAAACCTTGGAAGAGCTGGGTCTTGAGGATCTTGAGACTTATAGGGCTTCAGATAGCGGCTTGCAAGCACACTTTGGAAGAGCAGAGCTGTAACTTCGAGCCTGGGATCTATGCCCCTGCGCACCGCCTCCTGCATCCGCATGGTGTATTCCTTATCCAACGATACTCGTACGATGTGATCGTGTAATAGCTCGCTGAGTATTGTTAAATCAATGCCAGCAGTGCTAGCCGCTTAGGTAATATGTGAGGAGGGTGATGAAAAATACCTTGAACTGCAGTCGAGTTTACGGACTTTTATCTAGAGTAGAGTACGATAAGGTCCAGGGCCAAACGTTTGCGGCCCGGCGGAAAGAGACTAACAAGGCCGGGCACTGGGAAGGAGAGGAGGCTTCGGGCGCGTGCAGGGTTTACGCTCTTTACGGCCACGGTTTGAGGCTTCTGTCAGGATCTAGGGCTTATAGGATTTATAGGGTGAACCGGTTACCCTAGATTATATAGGGTTAACCTCAAAGTTCAGGGTTTATCAGGTTATTAAGGGCTGACAGTCTCGTCGGTTCGGGTTTTGGAGAGGCCAACTCGAGAGCTTCGCTTTCTGATCTTTCGTATCGGGCCTGGTGGGATGAAACCCGACACCATCCGAAACCCTAAACCCCCTTAAGCCCCTAAACCTCCCTCAGCAGACCTCGAACTACATGCCTCGCCTGGATTGTCCGAGTGTGAGCGCCGAAGCCACTTAGACTGCCGCAAAAAAGTATTGCCTTCGCGTTGGGGCCCCGCGGTTGGCCCTCCATGCCCCTACATCCCTCACCTTCTGGAGCTTCACTCCCGCTTAACCCCTATAATACCCTAAACCCTTGACTGCTTTCCGACCCTATAAACCCAAGACTCTAAACTCCCCATGGGTAGTTCTCTAAATTAGCTTCCCTTGTTAGGTACCCAATATATATAGTAAAGAGGACCCTAACCGGGACCCTAGTTTTGAACACTACCCCCATCGCTCAAGTTCATGTCGACCCCTCCCCCCCGGAGAGCGCGGAGGCGCAGGTCGCGAACCACAACCGCCGCGACGCAGCAATGCGTGGCCCGGACACGACTCCGACCCGATCATATAGGAGCCTTATGATCATAAGAATAGGATAGGAGTCTAAGACGTCAGGGGCTTATATAATTCTTGACTTAGAATATAGAAATCAGGGGTTTATATGGCCTTATGGGAGCAGCTGTCGCTATTGCCCGCAGCTTTAACGTACTCGTAGCTGCAGTTGGTACACAGTGGCAGGTAAAGAAACATACCAATATTCGACACATGTAGAATTCGGATCTGTTATTGTCAATGCCGGGTTTTGTTGGAGGCTTCGCTACCAACCCGTTCGTGACTCATGACTTGTTCCAAAGTTTAAGGCTTGCTAGCTGCTGCTTGTCGCCGCCGTTTCGTCGTGGTGGCTGTGTTTCAACGCAAGAGAAGTAGTAGTTGTTGTTCTAGAAGGAGGCGGAGGAGAAGGAGGAGGAGGGGCAACAGCGCTGGCAATGCTATGTGTGGTGCTGGTACTAGGATTTACGATTCTAGAAAAGGAAGTGAACATGGTTTGATATTTGTTCAGTACGGTTACAAGCGGCAGTTGTTGTAACAAGTCCCAGATTGCCGCGGCATTCCTGCGACGATGAACAAGGGGCCGACGATGTCATTGATCCCGAGTTCCTAGAGCCTTTAACCGCTAGCCCAGCCAAGGCAAGATGGCACGCGGCCTGGGCTAGAACATTTCTCGCTCGATCTCTTAGCTCTCTGAACGGCAAATCAGTTTTCATCGCCAAAGCCTACTGCGTG